TTAATTTCCAAACTAAGATAAAATAAAGGGAAGGTGGAGGCCAAGAACTAGAACCTGGCCACACGTCCCCAGGGAAAGAATTACCCAGAAACAGGTATAGATTAGAATGGTCAGAAGGATTAAGCGGTCAGAAAATATGTATGAAGGACCGCTGAAGCCCTCTGACCATTATAAGCTAATCTAAGCGTGCAGGTGTTAACACTACGTCTAGTGAGTGTGTGTGTGTGAGGAGTACGTCTAGTGTGTGTGTGTGTGTGTGTCAGGAGTACGTCTAGTGTGTGTGTGTGTGTGTGTCAGGAGTACGTCTAGTGTGTGTGTGTGTGTGTCAGGAGTACGTCTAGTGTGTGTGTGTGTGTGTCAGGAGTACGTCTAGTGAGTGTGTGTGTGTGAGGAGTACGTCTGGTGAGTGTGTGTGTGTGAGGAGTACGTCTGGTGAGTGTGTGTGTGTGAGGAGTACGTCTGGTGAGTGTGTGTGTGTGAGGAGTACGTCTGGTGAGTGTGTGTGTGTGAGGAGTACGTCTAGTGTGTGTGTGTGTGTGTCAGGAGTACGTCTAGTGTGTGTGTGTGTGTGTCAGGAGTACGTCTAGTGAGTGTGTATGTGTGAGGAGTACGTCTGGTGAGTGTGTGTGTGTGAGGAGTACGTCTGGTGAGTGTGTGTGTGTGAGGAGTACGTCTAGTGAGTGTGTGTGTGTGTCAGGACTACGTCTAGTGAGTGTGTGTCAGAAGGATTCTGGCGAGTGAACGTATGATTCATTAATACAAAATGAGGAAAACGATACATTTGTGACCACGTGCGTGACTTAACCACTGCATCTGCTCCACAACGTGAGCCGGAAAGATCTCCCACTTGTTCTTTTTGTCCCCCGGTGCTTCATGGTGGGAAAATTTCACTGGCCCGGTTCACTGCATTAGCCAGAGTAAAACACGTTTTCTTTCCTCCTCCTTGATTGCTGCTTCCGGCGCCAGGCACATCTGTACTGTGGTGAGGGGAAAGTATGATACGTATATGTGACCTACTCTCTGCCTGCCTGGAAGAGGAGGGGAGGGGGGAGGTGCTGAAGACGTCACGAGAAAGGGGAGTATCTCCGGGTGGAAGGCGACACGGAAGGCGTGTCCTGGAAGAAGGGAAAGCTGCACTCGTTCAGAAAGGCGCGCTTTATTTGGCGCAGTATCCCCTCCCCGCCCCGCCACCAGGGGGCCCGGATGATTCACTCAGAGCATTTGTCCACTCGAGGGGGGTAGAAATAGCCTAAGCTACTCTATCCCTTTGAGATGTATTTCTTGCTTATCTCAATGAACATGAACTTTGTCCACTCAGAAAGATAATGTATCTTTTATCTCGTCCATGGCGGCTTCGTCCGTATCGTGTAGTCGGTATTTACTAAACGTTACCATCATCGTGACGCTTTCAGATTGTCCTCAACCGGAGGGTATTATTATGAACTGACTTCGTGGCGCGTCGTAAACTTGGAGGTGTCGTCTAAGCAGCTTGAGATAATGGGAAGACGTAAGTGTTTGACGAAGCGTGTTACTAGTAAGATCTGGGAGAAGAATATGGTTAATGGTGACGCGCGCACATGCCAGCTGACTGGGTCAACCCTTGACTGTA